ATGGAAATTATCATGAATAGTAGCCAAGAAAAGTGTTTAATGCACAGTGTATATTTAAAGAAATGTTCACATTAATTCAGATTTTATTATGTTTCCATATTAGAACTATGCAGTTAAGAAGACAACATCTCCATACAGTGCATACACAATTTTTTATTATGACAGATTAAGAATACAATGTTTTGCAAAGATGATGCTTTATAAGCCTGCAAAAAAGAACTGCTTATTCAAACCACACCCAAAACAAGAGAACTGCGTAACAGTCTTCCTAGCTGGCCTCCAAAATCACCAGCAGCAATGACCTCTAAAAAAGCAGATCTTCTTTCTGTATTTAGTCAACTCGCAACTCTCAGTTACCAAGCAGAGAAGCAACAAGATACCAACAAGACACCGGAACAGTATTTGAGTTCCAAGACTTGTATTTCTCACACAGCTTGCTGCTCAGGGATCCTGTGATGCCATATACCTGCAGGCAGTAGGTAATTGTTACCAGTTTCATCTATACTCAAAACGGTGTGTCAGGAAAGCCCTGAATAGAGAGCACTAAAAGCCCTTTAATTAGATAATACAATCATCTTGTGAAAAACTCATGCAGAAACAAAAACTAATAGCTTCTAAACCTCACCTCAGTTAACTAACTGCCAATCTAAAGCACAAAGATGGAATACAGAAAATAATTTATACCAATTTGCTAGGTTTTTCTAGGGTCACTTCAAAATTTTGAGAAGATTAAGAGCTTGCTATGGCAAATACAAACTAAAACATAGTAATCAGAAGCAGAGAAGTGTCTGCTGAACAATCATGTAATAAAAACAATATTAACCACATTATCCTGTCTGTGGAATCTGAGGAAAAAACACACTCCAAAATTGCAGAAATGTTAAATGTAAAATACTTCTTGCAGATTTTCAATCCAAAAGAAACCAACTTACTACAGTATTTGTTGGAGCCTGGTTGTAATTAAATACAGGAAGGATATTAAAACTTCCAAGAGATTTTTTTTAAGCCACAACAGAAGAAAAGGCACAATTGCATAATTGGAACCAAATCCAAAACCCACTTCCTTCTTATTTACCAGCATCATCTAAAGGACACTGTTTAGACGCTGACGCTGAAAGCTCTGGAGCTGACAACTGTAAATCATCTAAAAGTCAAAAATTTCAAAGGAGTTGTATGACATGGGTTAAAAGTTTATAGATGAGAGATACAGAAAGTTAGTGCTCACCACAAAACCACATCCTAGCGGACACCGTATCTCTCGTCAACAGAATCATAGAATTCTATCTTCTTGTGAGGAAAGAAAACCTCTTTGGTAGTAATAAGCTGCTATAAAGCTAGAGAGCAAATCTGTTTGATATACGGAATTTGAAAGAAAGATTTCATTTTAAGATATTCTAAGAATAACGGTTTTTTAGAGAACAGTATTTCACTTATCATTTGGCTCTACACAGAGCAGTTAAATACTAAACAAACTTGCCAGTCAGTGGGATACTTCTTTAAAAAGCTTCAGATCATTTTCATTGGCAGTTGAATTCAGTTCAGTGCTAGCAGGAAATTAATATCAAAAGCATCCTCACTGTCCCCCTGCTCCCCCCAAAAAAATTAAAAATAATCTTGTGTATCTATAAGGCATGCAGAAAAGTGATAGCACAGACATAGATGAACACGCACATGCTAGGTTTTCTGCTATAAAATAAACCAAGTGGTTTTCAGGGATTTCTAATTATTGAAGTGCTTTAATGCCTGTGGTTTTTTTATCCTTTCTGACATAGTCATAGAAGCATAGAATCATCAAATGGTTTAGGTTGGAAGCGATCTTATAGATCACCTAGTTCCAACCCCCCTGCCATGCGCAGGAACATCTTCCACCAGACCAGGCTGCTCAGAGCTCCATCCAGCCTGGCCTTGAACGCTGCCAGGGAGGGGGCAGCCACAGCTTCTCTGGGCAATCTGCTCTAGTGCCTCACCACCCTCATAGTAAAGAACTTCTTTGTTATATCTAATCTAAAACTACCCTCTTTCAGCTTGAAGCCATTACCCCATGTCCTATCACTCCACGCCTTTGTTAAAAGTCCCTCTCCAGCTTTCTTGCAGGCCCCTTCAGGTAATGGAAGGCTGCTAGTCAAAGTCATCCACATGGCCCAGTGGAGATATATGTGTGGTCCAGCTTCACAATTCTCAGTTCAGATGAAGGGATGGACAAAAGGGGCAAGCATGCTGTTATATTAGCTCAGGGTATGAAATACTGACAAAGCCAAAAGTTTCACACAGGTCTCTGCTGTCGTAACACTATTAACAGGACGACAGTTCAGTAGCACTTTTGTTTTACACAGAAAAAAAGGATTCCTTTTTTCTCATTAAAAATTGCTAAACTCCAGTGAAACTCACACTGAGGAAAAGTTATTATGGTGCATCTGTTTGACCTCTAGATCCCAACATTAATCAAATGCAAGAAGAATCTAACAAACTAAAAGTCTACAACTTTAGGTTCCTTCTTATTTTGGCAGCATCTATGAGAGACTTCAAAAGGCCATTCTCTTTAAGTATTCATCACATGAGGAAGAGCTAGCTTTAGTTATCTCAGCTGGGTATGTAAAACCATAATCCCTTTGAAAGCACGGAACTTTCAAGAACCTGATCATATCACAGTAATTGTCTAACTTTGCTTATAAAAAAACATTACCACCAGAAGTACCGCGAGAGCAATTTTTTTTTTACATTAATTTTTAGATAGTGCTACTCTTTCTTAGTACACTCACCCTTGAAGACTTACAAGTAGCCACCAATTTTGTAAAAAGAAAGAAAACAAACCAGGAAAGCTAGATGTATTCAGAGAAACTCAGCTGTTAGTTATGTTGTTCTTCATTGATATTAACAAGTTTTTTAATAGAAATGATCACATGGGTTTATTTTTGGTACCCCAGCACCTCATCTATAAATATTTTTTCCAATTCAATAAATGTTCTCATTACAGTCTTGGGACAACGCCCTAAAGTTAATTTGAACTGAAGTAATAGGGTCATCTAAAACAAAAGAGCTGTTTTCTGAGTAACAACTTACATACTGTATTTCAAAATACCAACTTATTTCAGTTTAGTTTACCCAACACTGAAGTAAAAAACACTTATTTTGGAATAAGAGTGTGCAGGTACAGAATTACTTTTTAGTAACTTTTAGACAACTATAATTCGGTAACAAGCATGGAGAGAGTTAACATTTACAGAAAAAGCACTAAACTGTCCCTTCACCATTTAGTACTTCTTCAGCTAAGCATGTAGAAGTCAAACATATCATGCTTTGTTCACCAACATCTGTCCAAATCTTCACTCCCCTTCTTGTCTATGCCAGTGAGTAGCCTAAAGGATAATGATGTGGAACTTCAGATGGCAAATTTGCAATGTGAGAACACTTTTGTGCATAGCCAAAGCTGCCCTAACCAAGAAAAAAGATTCAAAAGACAAACGAGGTGACAAACTAAAGGCGAAATAAAAAGCAAGTTACAGCAACACCTAACTTCAACTCCTTTTACTTTCAGCATTTGAGAAAATATCAAATAATAGTCAAGAAGGCTCCATTAAAAAAAAGCCAAAAACCAGTGGAACGAGGAATGAAAAATAACAGAATGTCTCTGAAAATTACTGGAAGTCCTTTTAATAAAATTAGAAATGAGAAAGATCCAGCAGAAGCTGTCATAGTATAAAACACCATAAGACACCCTAAACAAAAAATACTTCCATATACATAATATTTAATAAGAGCTTAGCATACATTTAAAATATTTTTCTAAACTGTTTATTACATTTTTCAAATACAGACACAACATGTACAAATATACATAAGTGTGAAGAAGAGTTCAGTCCTTACAAACCGTTCTGAAACAAATGAAAAATTCTTTGCTGATTTAAGCAAGGGCTTCCCCTCCTTTCCAGATCTGATTTCAGTAGGTATTAAAACAAGAGCAGTAGGTATTAATGATTCTATAAGAACAAGAGCAATCTTGATCATTAGTCTCAGTCATTATTATCATACAATATAGGTGGGAAAGAACCTTTGGAGGTCACCTGGTCCAACCTCCTGCTCATACCAGGGCCAATTGGTTGCACAATGGGCACTGTGTCATCACTCAACTGTACTGACAGGTATCATGTGAAAAAACATACAGTTGAATAAAGACAAAAATAACTGAGCATGTAGTAACTTGGATTAGTACTGCATACAGTTTTGATGTACATTTTAACATGTAAACAAAAATTCCTATGCACCATGTACCCTGTTGCTACCAGCAGGTATCCACATCAGAAAGTCAAGGTATCATCTGGTCATGTGCAACTCAACTTCAGTTTTGTGAAGCATAAATCATTGCACCAATGGTGCTTAAATCTTCCAGGGCAATTTAAGGTTCTCACTATTCACATTATATGCCATGTCTTTAATGATCAAAACCTCTTTGTCTTTACAATTTTGATGAGATTTCTGTTTAATGAGCCTAGAGAAAATGTTGCATCTTCAGGATTACTTTATTCTTTAATTCCCAGAGCCAAAAGGTAGATTTCCCAGACTAGATTACTTTGATACTTGGGTGATACTTGATCACTTTGGATAATTTTGCACAAGTCATTCAGTCACTCTGGTAGCAATATGACTCAGTGCCAAGGCCTCCTTTCTAACAGCGGTTTCGCCATTTATGCTTGTCTATTTCAAATAATCTTCTACAACTGTTAATTACAATCTCAGGGAGATTATAAACCTCGATTAATCCAAGTTTTCAAAGAACATGGAGGTCCTTTGTAAAAAGTGAAAACCAAATGTAATGCAGTAACTATAACCACGTCGTATAAAACAGTCACTGCCAGAGTGGCAGAATAAGCAAGCTGTCAATGACACCATTATTGTCATTATTATTGTTATCATTAGTTGTACTAACGAATTTACATTGCCAAAATGGTATTCTCAGTTTCAAACACCTACAGAACAAAAAATAATTTTTTAAAAACTCCTACCTGAGATGACAAGAGATTACAGTCGATGTGCAATCCTTTCCCCGTTCTATACCTCTGAAGTAAACCAGCCATAATTGCTCCATATGTATACAATCCAGTAGCAAGGTCTGTCATGGCTACTCCTGGTCTAACTGGCTCACCATACTAAAGAAAAAGCAGAAAACACCCCAAAATAAAACAAGACGAACAAAAAAATTAAAAAAAAAAAAAAACCAAGAAGGTGTCAAACATTATTTTTGTTACGGTACACTCTACAGGACTCATCTGAAAAAGTGTTTACATGTTTCTGCATTGCAAGCTGCAAGAAATACGAGTATCTTTGAGTGAACAGAAGCATAAAAACTACCACAGAAAAACAGATCTTCTTGCAGTATCTACACAATTCTGCAACTTCACAATGCTGCAGACAGCAAATCATGAACAATTTGTTTTGCTACTTTTTGCCCTAATAACATAATGCTTCAACTCACGAATGCAAAAAGGAGAGAGATACTGTTAGAAACAAGAGAATGCAATGAAAACTGAATTTCATTATGCCTGAAAGCCAAAAGTCTAAAGGATTTCCACAGTACACTGATGCAGATGCATGCCTGTTTGAAAGGCAGAACCATATTATTTTGCCCTTCACACTCTCTTTTTCTTCCTCCTCTCCTGGCCCTCCCCCAGCCAAATCTCAGTTTTGTATTTTCCAGTACATGCACTCCAGGCTTCTAGCGAGAAAACAAAAACAACTTCATTTTGCTTACACATGTGCATATTACACCTGCAGAGACATTCAAATTCTTGACCTTCTGACCAAAAAATAACTGTAAAGTTGTTGGTTTAAATACCCTTTTTCAGTGTGTCAATCCCTTTTTCTGGCATCAAGGGAAGAATCTTCATTTTACATCACGTGTTTTAGAACTTCCGTAGTCATTGGCACAAAATATGGCCCCTCTGCAACCAATGGCAAACTAAACTTCTATTTTGAGTTAAGGCAGGCTTTTATCATAGAAACTTAAAAGTGCTTCTTCTGTGACATTCTCCCATTTCCTACTCTGAACTGGTTGAGGTCAGATGCTCAGATTCCGACAGCCATTGCTTGTCTTGAAGTACAGTCCATATATAGCAGTGCAAAGCTAATGAGGCTCTTTCAGAGTTTCAGCACCTAAATAAGCCTGTCACAAACCAACTTAAAATCAGTATAATTGATAAAAACAATAACTGTTTGTCAAAGTTCCCATAAATGCCTTTAAACTAGTCTAGGATAAATTTAATAAAATTGAATTTACAGAATTACTTTAATTAGTCATGTCTACATCACTAAGTGTAACCAAACTTTAAGATTGCAAGAGAGTTCTGTTTACTGATAATTATAAAAAAAGTGTGTCTTGGCTTCCTGTAAAAAATTTAAAACTTATCGTCACCATGGTTTGTTTTTTTTCTTTTGCACTCAAGCAGGATTTCTGTAAGTGTGATATAAAGTCATATATAAGTTAAATTTTAAGAGAAATAATATCATATTGCATTATAAAATGCATTAATAGGTCAATTCTGGGATGAAAGACTAACAAAATATTTTGTCTGTAAGATGGAAAAGGCTGCTATTTTGTTCACATCACAAATGTGATTAATAAAATTATAAAATCTGTATCAAATACAACAAAATTTTGTAAAAAAAAAAATCTCAGTTACTGTCATTCAAACTGCAGTAAGGATTAGTCTGTGACTAACTATAGCCTAGATATTAACGATGATGTATAAACTACACATCCTTAAGGGGAACACCACTTTAGGAAATACTTCTTTTTTAGAAAGTCTCTTCTTTCTTCCTTCTCCACACTCTACACTAAGCTACTTCAGCTTCCCCATGGAAAGGACAACTCAGAGGTTCCATCCATTTACCAATTCCCTTGTGCCCAACTCTAGGGGAAAATAGGAAGGGAAGTTCTTTTCTTTTACATGCACTGGCCTACTGAGAAAACCAATTAGCATATGAGAAGCTTTTGGCTTCTTAGACCTATCTCTGAGAAATACAAATGAAAAAAAAAAAAAAAAACAACATTTCCTCCATTTATCTGCTGCAAGTTCTAAGCTTGTTAAATTGTTCTTTCCTCATTACAGCCAAGACACTGGGATGAAAAGAAATCAAAACATACTTAAGATTTTGCAACCAGATGTGCAGAAACAGTCTTAATTCGAAAACATTTCCCATTGTTTTCAAAGCGTCATTAATTTAATTTCACCTTTAACGGAGATAACTACACTTTGAAGATGCAAAAATCAGGACTATCTTAATAGATTGTTACACATGAATTTGTCTTCTCAGGCCTTCATTCCAGCAGTTTCCTCATCAAGCACTAAACTACCTAATGTTTTAAAGCAAACACTTCCTTTGCCTCAGTAAAAAGTTAACCTTTATTTCTGACAATACTTTCACAACTTCCCCTTACAGAACACTCCTAAATTTGAGAAGTCAAACTACTAGCACTATACTGCTATGTTATTTTTAACACATTGGCTTTACTTCATCCTAACACTCCACAACCTATAATTCTGCAGCAGTCCACACAATTTCTACTCTTCCTTGGTCTTTCCACCAAGATCCATGAGCAGCTGCCATTTTTCACCCTTTAATCAGCTGCCAAGGTCCACCTGTGCCATAGGCCAGCCCTTCTATGACAGGATGCACAGCTGTAAGCACTGTGAAACGGATTCATTCGGGTGTTCAGCTCTATCCTGCAGAACAAGGCATATGAACCTGCTTTATAGGAAGGATAAAGGTACACACACCCCCCGTTCCTTTACTGGCAAAACCTCTCACCACAGAGTTCGACAGCACAGCAGCACTTCTGTGTAGCTAACCTTATACTAGTTCCCTGAGCACAGTAAGGGTCTATACCATAGCTTTTATTCAAGCAAATTATTTTAAAATAGCAAACACCCACCACCATCCCTGCCAGCCAAAAGTTACATTACTTTTCTGCTAGAAAGACAAAAGGTAGCCCTAGTCAGCGAGAAAAAGCTTTACGCAAACAAAGCTGCCATCCAGCCTCAAGGACTGGGCTGAACCATACCTAGGGGCAGCACCAGGACATGCCCTCTGCTCATCTGAGAAGATGAAGAATGATTCGAGTAGAGCAGACCATTTCTTCTGTCACTGCGCTTTGCTATTCCTCAATCTTACCAACACTTTACACTTTTATTCCCAGTTTTTGCCGTTTGCTAAATTCCTTACAATTTGCAAACATATTCAGGCCCAGAGAGAGCCACAACATGTTTTAGAAGCTTCCTTTCCCGAGTCAGGATTTTTTTGCCCTTTGACATAATTTCTCTTCCCAAATTCACATCAGTAATATAAAAATGATCCATTAAAAATTGAAATTATTCTGAAATTACATGCTTAATAAAAATATTCTAAGGTTCGAAGTCTTTACAAATGGGAAATAGTTGCTGAAGCTAATAGGAACCAGCAATGGCTGTATTTTTTAACTGTTCTGAACTACATACCACGTGTACTCTTCTGTAACAGTTTGCTTGGTTTTAAGTTGAAGAATGGCACCTGTGGTAGAGTAGATCCCAATCATGCCTGTCTCATGTTCAGTAAAATAAAAGTGTTTCTTCAGCAAGAAAGAGTGCACCACCATGAATATACCCTGAATATCAAAGTTTGTGTGTAATAATCCACCTGGAGATGGCAGGGAATTTGTATTTAAATTGGATTTAATTAATTTCAAGTTATTCCCTTAATGAGTCATAGAAATTTTCATCAAAGGAATATTCATCTGGCACTGATGTATCTGAATATATTAAGTAAAAGCTTTCTGTTCATCAAATATGAAACTTGAATATGGTGTTTAACCAGGAAATTATAAATTATGTCATCCAGGACAATAAAAGTGTCATCAGTGTAAACTCTGTTCTTTTAGTATATTTTAATTTATGTAAAGAAAAAGTGAATGTGGCTTGAAGCTTGTGGTACAGATTTACACAAAACAGGTTCCCCACTCTTGCTTGTAAATTTTCATGAACACACCAGAATTTCAAATTTCACAGGTGTCATACATTTCTAATACAGAGATAATCAAATACATGTGTAAGAACTTGAATTCCATGCAGATTTCTGCACATGAAAACATGGTTTAAAGATGGAATTCTTCTGTATATTGAATGTGTTTTTTGTTTTGTACAATCAACAGCAACAATAGCACAAATGCAGTTATTTGTGCCTAACTTTGCAATGTTGCAGATGTTACAGTTTGATTTCAAGGTTCAGAACTTTGCTTAGCAGCATTTCAAAGCAATCAGCATTCAGCCATTTCAGCAACAACTACTTCCTAGCAAAAAAAAAAAAAAAGGAAAAAAAAAAAGAGAGAGAGAGAGAAGCAAGCCATTCAGGAGGCAAGCCATTCAGAATTTCTTTATGCAGGAATCTTCTCTTGGATCTTAAAAATCAGATGTATAAAGCATACCATCTTGTCTCCCTTTCAAGAGTTTTAGGCTGTGTGCCAAATGGGATACTATTGTGTATCTTTGGTGCATTCCACATTTGAATTATCCTATCTTTATCTCCTTAATGAAAAGTTAACTTGGATAAAATACACACATTTTAGTCAGAAATTTCTGCCTCTTCAACTGTGATCTCTTTATTGCCTCAAAATTAGTGTTACATGAAATGTGAAGTACTGAAGAAAATGAATGTCAAAAAACATTACTGAGAAACTGATGAAGTAATATACGACCAACTTCAAATAAAGAAAAAGAAGAAAGCTTTAGCATGTTTATTTTATCATGCAAGAGAATGACTAAGCTTGTATGAACTGTTAAAAGCCCACAGTGAATAGTCAGCACTGTCACTAACAGTGATTAAATGAATCCTATGATTACACTGCCTCAAGTCCTGGTGAGGTGATGTGAACATCTGGATTTCTAGTGTAGGTCTTAACACAACCTTTTAATAAAACCCATCTTCATAATGGCCACTGAGGCCACTCTCATAATCCAACTTACATGCAATTATTCAGTATAACACTTGTATTTTCTGTCATTCAGGTATCATTGAAAAGCATTATAAGAGTCCTTTTTTCTTCCAATTTTTCAACATACTTTCTTTTATTCATGTGGTACTAACAACATTTGCACCTTTAACAGTTTATACTCCTATTTAGTTTTAATTAGTATATTTTCAGATGTGCATAAAATTCCCAGCATTACTGGGCGTACTAAACTTCACTCTACAGACACCAGGGTCAGAATGTAAAAATTACTTACACTACAGTTACTGTGACCAGTCATTGCTCAGTGTATACGCGCATTATACATTTGAAGAGAAGTACCTGTAAGGACTCCACTTCATGTCTTCTCACATTCTGAGATGGGACATCCTTTGAGTATGCACCATTAACATGGCAGTAATGAGAAGACAGTCTTAGGACACTAGGCACGAGATGTTTCAGCTTTCCCAGTTAAACAATGCTTGACTTTTTTTTATGGAAAGAAGGACTCTGGTAACAATAACTGCCACAAGCACAGAGTTCTGATGTTTGCCGTTGTTCTCGACAGAAAACAAGTCTACTGGCAGAATTTCAATCCCACAGCAGACTTATGTCCAGAACATGCATGGTTAGCTTTCAACAACTTACTCAAACATGAATATTTGACACCAAGTACAGAAACTTCATGAACTCCTTGTTTATCTCAGGCATGCAAGTGTCATATTCTAAAGATCTGCACTACTGCTTCCAGAGTATCAGGAGCACCGCCACAGAAGATCATGTAGTGTTTATGATGCATAGAACAGACTCGTAACACCTACCTCACTTGCAAAGCGACATTTGGAGACCACATTCCCTGCATCTGTAGATGGTTCAAGACAGCTTAAGTAAATGACTGTTAGACCGCATTCTTCTGAGGTGAAGATACATATTCTATGTATCCCTGGAATCCAGATACTAAACTATCTCTGTAATGCTTCCCGCACTACTGCAAGTACCAAAGTTCTTGGATGCCAATGGGAATAGCAGCACATAAAGCTTTTCCAGAGCCATAAATGGCATCTCTCCTTATTTTCAGGCAGGATAGCTGAAAAGAGTTTGTCAGAGTTACGTGGATGGCTTCACAGTTTCCTTTTTTATTTAAGATGGAATACCAATATTAAAGCATGGGTGAGACTTCCCACACATACGCATGGTTCCATCATCTGGGTGTCAACACTGTGTCCATCACAGCTCCTGAACTGACTATAAGTGGCCATTAACAGGTTAGCATAAATTGTCATATTATTCACTGGAGATTTAGGATACCATTTTCCTCCCATTTTCTCTTTCTTTGGTATCAGCTTCGCAAGCTTGGAATGAGATACCCGAAGGACATAAGCACTATCATTTTCTTAGAGATAAGACCTCTTGTTGGGACTCAGGAGGGCATACATAACAGATGTGTTAGCATAGGCTAACTTGCTCCATGCAGCATGAAGTTTTAGTATAAGGCACAAACATTCTATTAAATTTATAAGTTGAGCACCATACCTCATGCCCTGTGATATTCATGAGACCAGAAACAGCAGCTGCAATGGAGTCATATCCACCTCTCTGAACCATTGGACCAGTCTGACCGTAACCTGAAACAGAAAGTGAACCATTAGCAATTCAATCAAGGACAAGTACAGCATAAACACATATTACTATTATAGTACAAAAAGGAACTAGTAATTCTCATCAGCTTTTGCACATTCTGGACAACTTGCGAACAACCAATAAACGCTACTGTATTCTATTTATTCCTGTGAATTTTAAGAGTAAACAGTTGGATATACCCTGCGCAGGCTGATGATACCTTTGATCTTAATTCTAGACAGAGTCCTGGCCCTGCTATGTTTCATTCACTTTGGATAGAATTCCTTTTTTAGTTTACTGGATCAGATGATGTGAGATTCAGACGTTATTTCAGAGGCTCTATGTTATCTCTACAGCCCTCCAACTGCTGTCCAACGGGGCCCATGCTGCCTGTGTTGTATCTCCACTCTGCCATAAAGATATCTTAAATACCACAAATGATACTGAAACCATGACACTATGGTTTAGACACATGAATTGTTCCCCCTTTACTTCTCTTACTTTATTCCACATCTCAAAAGACCCACATTCAAAATAAAACATTGTTTACAGCACAGGACAAGGCTGCCCTTTAGCAAGTATGCACAATCTGTTTGTCAAGAGTTAGCAACAATGAAATGCAGAACACAAAAAAGTTACATGGAACCACATAAATACAGTTTTGTTCAGCTACAGAAGTAATAACTGTTGCCAGAAGGACACCCTCTTGCTTTTCTCTGCTTTAACCCCTCATGTACTTCCAACAACTTCAAAATCCTCCAGTTGAGGTGGTCTTGCAAAATCAACTGAAGAGATATCAATCCTATTCCCTTGTCAGGGACTACTGCCTGTCAATCACAGGATAACCCAATAATTTAGGGCTCAAATTGGAGGTAGTTCATATACTGGACCTGTACAATGTCATGGCCTTAAGGGGTCAAAGAGCTAAGTCTGGTCATCTTTTACAGAACCAGTGACCACCAGCGGGGAGAGGACAACAGGGGAGGAGAAACATGTTTCATTGCTGTTATTAGATCTAACAGAAACTGTAAAAGACCTTAAGAATCAGATTTAAGAGTGTCTCCTCCTCTAAGAGGCAGCAAATTCAAAAGCTATTCTTATGCTTTCTTTCCACTTTTCAGATATCTAGGAGAAATCCCCTGATTACAGGAGCAAACAGTTAGGAGATCTTTGTCACAGACAAAACTCCTAGTTTGGCTGGCACTTTTAAGGTGATGTTTCTGTACCACTCAGCCATGAGGACAGTATTAAAACACATCAACATATACTGCAAGTTACAACTTCCTGAACCTCCTAAATTCCTTTCAATTTTTCTCCCAGAACAATCTTCTCTGTATAGAATCAGTCTGTCTGGTAGACATGACAATCTAAACATTGGCCTTGTTGGTTACAGCACACAATTAAAAATCATTACGCATTGGGGTAATCTTCCTCAGTTCCTCCACTTGGACAATGCTCTTATGTACAAAATTCATAAATGGCTTCTAATGTACAGTGCAAGAGAATAATGATCACTTCAAACAGGAGCTAAAGGACTTTGTTACTCCAGTTAATATTTAGTAAATCATATCAAGACAATATCCACTAGCCATACCAATTTCCCCATTATACCACAAAGTATCTCAATTATCTGATATTTTTCTGGAGACATTAGATCCACATTGTGCAAAACTGAAGAGGAACCCAACTTCTATGCTCAGTGTCACAGGAAATATCAGGGTACTACAGCCAGCACATTGACTTTGTCAACATAGCCTCAAAAAAAAACATTTTTGAAGAAAGGATTTAACAATTTTCTTATAGTCAAATGTGTATCTTATTGACTTCACTTCTCACAAGAGAGAAGGAAAAAACCTACCAGTTTACCCAGTTTTATTCAATATCACGTCTCTGACAATGACTGACTGAGAACCTAAAGAGCAACTGGTGACACTTCCTTTCACATTTACACGCTTAAGTTTACAGTGTAAACAAAGTAACAATGTTTTCATTTTCAAACATAACAGGCCTAGCAAATAAAATGTGATGGATCCACCCAAAAATGTTCTGAAGGGCTCTAACTAGGCATATACCATTATCTCATTGGAATGAACTGTAGCATTAAAACCATTTAAATGCGTGGGGCCACTTCAAAATCTTGCTCAATTAAAAAAAAAAAAGCACTCAAAACAACTTTAAATGAATAGTGAAAAGCATATTGAAGTAAGTGAGAAATTATGTACTCGCCTCAATTATTAACAAAGAAAAGACATCTCAACACATCTGCTCTCACAAATGTTTCCCTAAACAGAAAACATCTGAAAATTAAGCAGTTAGTGTGTAGACAGAACAACTATAAAATGCTTTGCAATGCTCTTCTGGTAAGAACAAACACCCATCCCTCAAACACTACATTCATGAAAGGTGACAGGCAACAAGTCCTGCATTTTTCTAGTGGTATTTTAGAAGCACAATTTTTTTAAGTCCTTTTCACACATTATAACCATCTGGTTTCAAAATAAAAATTATTTTAACAGCTTTGGGTTAAAATTAGAGGTTCTAAAAAGTGTTTAATTAGTTTTTCTAGGTCACAACAGATTACAAAGAAAAAAATAGATAATTCTGCTTTTGATCTGAATTCTTAATTGATAAAGCTAGTGTGGGGACAAAATCCGTCATCATTGGAAATGGTTTGCCCCAGGAGCTACGGACATATGAAATGCCTGGAAGAAGAGGCAGCCATCTAACTGTAGGAGTTCAGTGACAAATAGCTGTTTCTAAAAATGAAAGATCTCATTATTTAGCCAAAAATCAAAGGCTAAGCATTATTATTCTAGTAAACTACACAGGTCAACGGAGCAACACAGTACAGACATTTTAAAAATAACTATGAACACAGAGAAAGTTTGAAGGACAGCACAAAATTACATTCAGGAAATTTTCAGCCTGGTGCACAGATCTCACCATAAGTGTAATACACACACAGAGATACATACACACACATGTACATGTGTGTATATATATAAAAATACATAAAACAACTTCTTAAAGGCATAAAGTGCCACCCAAAGTTTATGTTTGTCCAAATACCCTGCTTTCTCTCTCACTTGAATTCAGCATGCAAAAGCATAGATTAGCAATCACACATGTTTAACCCTAAACATAGGCTCCTGTTCAGTATAATGTAGTTAGCGGCATATCAAGTTTAGACACAATGGAAAGTACTTTAGGCTAAAAAGATAATCCCTGCTGAATACAGAATGAATAGGCTTTACAGCGCTGGTCTCTGAAGATGAAACAAGGCAGCTCGCTACACTCTTGCTCTGAACTGCCCTCTAGTGGGGTTTACCTCCAGGCTACAGTCAATTTTTAAATCGAGTCTTTCTACCTGTAGAGCATTTATTTCAGTCCCTTAAGTCCAGTGAACATATTTTTATTTGGGGGAAGATGTTTCAGAGGAGAGACAAAAGAATTTAAAATTTAATCTAATCAAACTGAGAGTTTTCTAAATCATTTCAGTTGGAGAGGGTGCTGCACAGATGTCTAATCTCACAAAAAGCTTCAGATTCGTGTAAAGTGGAATCTTTAAACAACAGAAGTTGCACCCTCCCTAAATCCCTATTCGACTCCCAAAACCCTAACCCTACACCTTGCACTAGGAAGGCACAATTTATTCTGATACCTGCCACATCCTCATGTACCTAGATCTCAAAAATCTTGCAGTAGATGTCTCGCTGTACTGCAAAATGTGTATCAGTCTCACAATCAAACTGGTTACAAGACAAAATAATCCCCAGTCATATCTCCACGTGCCTCCTAAAAACTGTCATTGTCAAAGTATTACTTAATCTGCACAGCAAGCATTTGAAACCACCAGAAACCTAAACGCTAGCTGCCCACTAAATGACTATTTGCTTATTCAGCATAGTCACCTAAAAGTTCCCGTTCCTGTCCCGACCGTGCAGCCAAGTCTATCTTCTGCGTAAGAAAGTGTACCTTTATAGTCTTTACTTTTTTGTGAGCAAGAAGAATGAACTGGGTATGAGACAAGCATGAAAGAACAAGTTGCACTGGCTACCTTCTATCAGCGTAAGAGAATCATTGGCCTTTACAGCCAGCATTTACAAAGTGAATGGCACAGCTTTCCACCAGCAATCCTGTAGCAACTTCCACCAGCAGTCCTGTATCCTTGCCTCAGACACGAATGGAGCAAGTGACCTGACGGGCTGTGTTTAGCATCCCTTGTTTTTCAGAATTTTCCAAGTGGTTAAAGACAAATTTACAGCTGAGAATTTTGAAACAATATTCTTAACTAAGATGTCCACCATCTCTCATTGTTAGCCTGCAGCATAACATGCATTGCATGAACATTCAAAATGAGACATGTTTAATGTGACATGAAAAGGAATAGCCATGTTCCTGTATCTATTTTTTTCGTATTTCAGGGAATATGACAATTAAAGTTTCATAAAATAAGGCAGCTAATATGGAATAATGCAGCTCACAGCTGTTTTAAAAACATCTCCAGTTCTTTAACGGCCAAATACAGAGCAACAACAGAAGAGTCGAGATGCCTAAAAAAATATTTATCTAGCAAAACTTAAAGATAACCATGTCAAGATAAACAGTAAATTATAATAGCACTAAGATCCTCATCACCAGCTGGGGGCATCACAGAAGAAGTAACTTTATGCAAGACACTAATTGCTACTGATTGAAGACTCATGTGGTAAATTGAATTGAAACAAATAGCTTTCCCATAAATATTGGCTATATATACCCATTCCAATGAAAACTAGGAGTGAGACTGCTGCTATTACCTGATTAAATTACACCATTATTAATATATCACAATTCCTGACACAGGGAAGGACTGAAAGCATTTTTTTCCCCCCAGATTTTTCCAGCTGGATCAGAGAGACCTAGTAAAATAAAGCCACTCTTCAAAGTGAAATAAATCTTACCTACTTCTCTAGGGTTTGTGTGACATTCCTGATCTGATGAAAGGGAACCAGTTAATCCAAAA